CTGTTCCAATTCCAAGTTTGGTTTTTACGTAGGAGTTGGTGAAGCGGATTTAGATATGTTACTGCCGATGGTATGAACCTTGAAAACTGGGTAACGGCACCCAAGAATGCCCGCACTTCATGAACCTTTTTGGGTGTTTGCGCTTCAAGTAGCGCTCTTGTCTTTTCTTTTAATAGACAATCTTCGGGATAACCGATACCCAAGATACTGTGCGCTGGGTACAAGAAACTCACACATTTCATTTTTTAACTAACCCGAATCTGACACACAGTGCGAAGTGCTGGCAAACAATTGACAGAATGCTTTACTTCAGCCTGCCATCGAAAACACTTCGCTTAATCAGGTGGATAGTTTTGTTTACCTTGGGAGCAGTATCTCTACCGACGGAACGAATGGAGAAGTGTCTCTGAATCACTAAATCCCGCCCGGTCTTCGACAGTATGAGACACGTGGCGTCGTCTCAACATCTTGCTTTTCCTAAGAGGCAGGGTAAAAGCATTTTCGTAAATCCTGTTCCAATTCCAAGTTTGGTTTTTACGTAGGAGTTGGTGAAGCGGATTTAGATATGTTACTGCCGATGGTATGAACCTTGAAAACTGGGTAACGGCACCCAGAATGCCCGCACTTCATGAACCTTTTTGGGTGTTTGCGCTTCAAGTAACGCTCTTGTCTTTTCTTTTAATAGACAATCTTCGGGATAACCGATACCCAAGATACTGTGCGCTGGGTACAAGAAACTCACACATTTCATTTTTTAACTAACCCGGATCTGACACACAGTGCGAAGTGCTGGCAAACAATTGACAGAATGCTTTACTTCAGCCTGCCATCGAAAACACTTCGCTTAATCAGGTGGATAGTTTTGTTTACCTTGGGAGCAGTATCTCTACCGACGGAACGAATGGAGAAGTGTCTCTGAATCACTAAATCCCGCCCGGTCTTCGACAGTATGAGACACGTGGCGTCGTCTCGACATCTTGCTTTTGCTAAGAGGCAGGGTAAAAGCATTTTCATAAATCCTGTTCCAATTCCAAGTTTGGTTTTTACGTAGGAGTTGGTGAAGCGGATTTAGATATGTTACTGCCGATGGTATGAACCTTGAAAACTGGGTAACGGCACCCAGAATGCCCGCACTTCATGAACCTTTTTGGGTGTTTGCGCTTCAAGTAGCGCTCTTGTCTTTTCTTTTAATAGACACAATCTTCGGGATAACCGATACCCAAGATACTGTGCGCTGGGTACAAGAAACTCACACATTTCATTTTTTAACTAACCCGGATCTGACACACAGTGCGAAGTGCTGGCAAACAATTGACAGAATGCTTTACTTCAGCCTGCCATCGAAAACACTTCGCTTAATCAGGTGGATAGTTTTGTTTACCTTGGGAGCAGTATCTCTACCGACGGAACGAATGGAGAAGTGTCTCTGAATCACTAAATCCCGCCCGGTCTTCGACAGTATGAGACACGTGGCGTCGTCTCAACATCTTGCTTTTGCTAAGAGGCAGGGTAAAAGCATTTTCGTAAATCCTGTTCCAATTCCAAGTTTGGTTTTTACGTAGGAGTTGGTGAAGCGGATTTAGATATGTTACTGCCGATGGTATGAACCTTGAAAACTGGGTAACGGCACCCAGAATGCCCGCACTTCATGAACCTTTTTGGGTGTTTGCGCTTCAAGTAGCGCTCTTGTCTTTTCTTTTAATAGACAATCTTCGGGATAACCGATACCCAAGATACTGTGCGCTGGGTACAAGAAACTCACACATTTCATTTTTTAACTAACCCGAATCTGACACACAGTGCGAAGTGCTGGCAAACAATTGACAGAATGCTTTACTTCAGCCTGCCATCGAAAACACTTCGCTTAATCAGGTGGATAGTTTTGTTTACCTTGGGAGCAGTATCTCTACCGACGGAACGAATGGAGAAGTGTCTCTGAATCACTAAATCCCGCTCGGTCTTCGACAGTATGAGACACGTGGCGTCGTCTCGACATCTTGCTTTTGCTAAGAGGCAGGGTTTACAATGCTTGTGTTTGCGCGATACCTTTGGATGGATGCGAATCCTGGCCGATCAGATTGGATGACATGCGTAGGCGTTTGGCCATTGACAACGGCTGTCTGCGAAGCATCGCCCTCGTATGGTGGCAACACCGGGTGCACAATGCTGATACCAGACAACGCGTCTTTAATAAGGCGGAACTCCCGCTCTATGAGCTTGTTCCATTGCGCCAGTAGAAATGGCTTGGCCACCTCCTGCGCACGTCTGGTGGGCGATCGCCACGCCGCGCCCAATTTGTGCCTGCAGGACTGCAATGAAGGAGGCTATGTTGGGGCCATCCGACCACCTGGACGCAAGGTATCAAATCCCTGACATCCTGTCTATTAATTGATGACTCTGTACGCTTTCCCGAAACGGCATCGAAAGATGCATGACGATGGCTTACAACACTCGAAACAATGGCACAACATTGGTTGTAGCGGAAACAATGCGCACAAGTCTGCATGAACTCCTGACTCAAAAAGTTCTAACACCATATAAATGACAAAATTGAAAGAACCGCGTGTGAAGGAAGAAAAGAAGTTGACTATTGATCCTTCTCAATATATATATATTGCTGGAGGGGACAAAGTGCACGGTCCTTGTGGTCGTGCTAGGCTCGAAGAGTGGTTCCATGCACTCAGTGTGGAGCGGACTGCGGTCCAGCCACCGCCTTGTGTGAGCTTGATTCTCAAATACAGCGTGCTTGTGTTTGCCTGTGAAGGAGTGTGGGCCGGCTCTGTTGATGAGACGCGGCTCCCATTCGCATGCCTCCCGTTGTTATTCCTTCGGGTTTACACTGGATGTGGGGTATGTGGTTGGAGCTGTGGGTGGTGCAGCGCAAGCCACCCATGGTGCCTCTGTAGGCGCACGCGTCCTGTGGCTTGCCACAGTGACATGCAAATCCGAAACCGGATGCTGCCAACCATATATGCATGAGATGTACCCCATGCTGAGGCTGATGTTGCATCCATGATGCTTCTTCACCGCAGTTGGGCTAAACCAACTTACACTTAAACTAGGTCTCTTTCTAAGCTGGATAAATTTCATTCCACTTCATTTGATTTGTTCTGCCTATCGAAATAATCTCCTATTAAGTTTCCACGTTGCTTACGGTAATTGTGCTTATTTTCGTTAACTTTATTGCGTTTGTAGCATTCTCTGAGTCACTTCTGGACATATTTTACTTATCGCGAATTCGTTACTAATCAACATACTTCATATGCTAATTTAGGGAAGAGTTATGTCTGCATAGCCGTATTCTTTAACATATATTTTATTTGTTACTGTTATTTCAAGTGATTGGCTGTTGTTTGACATCCACGGTGTGACTGCGCTTGATGTGCATGTTGACAAGGTGCCTACCTGTCTATTACCCACTACCTCGTCCATACTGCCTCTAGGAGATAGTTGGTCGTTGCTGGAGGGGACGGGGTGCACGGTTCTTGTGGTCGTGCTAGGCTCGAAGAGTGGTTCTATGCAGTCAGTGTGGAGCGGACTACGGTCCAGCCACCGCCTTGTGTTGCGCTTGATTCCCAAATACAGCGTGCTTGTGTTTGCCTGTGAAGGAGTGTGGGCCGGCTCTGTTGATGAGACGTGGCTCCCATCCGCATGCCTCCCGTTGTTATTCCTTCGGGTTTACACTGGATGTGGGGTATGTGGGTGGTGCAGCGCAAGCCACCTATGGTCCCTCTGTAGGTGCACGCGTCCTGTAACTGGCCACAGTGACAGGCCAATCCGAAACCGGATGCAGCCAACCATATATATATATATATATATATATATATATATATATATATATATATATATATATGGATCATTCCTGTGATTAGTCCAAGCGAAACTCTCTGGGTGACACTTGATCTTGGTAGAGCCGTAGCATTAATGCAATTTGTGCACACTCAAACTGGGGTTGTTGAGACAAATTGCTATCACCTCCGCCAGTGCGGTTTCTGATAATTTTGGGCTGGACACCTATCATATGGTAGATCGGGTGAAAGGCCTTGACGATGACGACGAGATGTTTCTTTTGTGCTATCTGCGCGATTATTACGCTGGTATGCGTCTTGTTCAATCTGTGTCTTGGTCGCGCAGGTTGATGTCCGCGCACCCGTTCAGCTAAATGTCTTGTGGTGGGCAGTACTAATTTTGGTGGTGTCGATTTCTTCTGTTCAAGATTAGAGGTGCTGCTCACTACTATTCTACTTGTGGTGCTGCATCAGCGTTTCTCGATGTAAGTAACCAGTTGCAAAATGATCAGATAACAACTGTGGCTTCCACCGTCGCAGGCATAGCATACGTCGATGTCTATACTGTCTGATGTATGTACAACAACGTTTTCATACCTCCTTCCACGTGATCGTTGAACGCATTCGGAAGCACTGAGAAACATGTCCAAATAGGTGGTTTTTAATGAAAAGAGGCTGCCGTTGGCTGTAGTGGCATGGATATTGTTGACAGTATTCACGGCTGGTGTCACATGAATCATGATCTACAGGCTGTAGATTTGTGCCGAGGATGCGGTTGGATGTAGGAGGATACATCAATCCATTATCTCTATAGTAAAGGTAGGTACCAGCAGTACGAAGGTGCGCCACTCCGATTCTTTGCTGCTGCGTGACAGCCACCAGTCACACGCGAGTTAGGGTATTGCATATTCGCCCATACATACGCAGATTCGAACCGATGACTTTTGGGTTGCAAGGCATACGCATCCTTCTTTCGGCCGCAGGTTCTTTAGGGGACTTTAGATCTTGTCACTCTCTTGCTATTGTATTTTTGTGTGTGGTAATACTAACTGCCTCCCTGTCCTTGCTCTACCATGGACGAATGCCATTTCTTTTTGCCATCATTCTTTTGAGAGTAACTCAATCCAAACTTAAAATATGCAGCGATCTGTTCTGAGTATTTTCGCCTATAACTCTCTATTTTTAATGTTACATTTTCAGGTTACTCTGCAGTAACTTTTATAGATGGCTCCCGTTCGTCGAAGCAAGAAGCCACCTCCTGAAGGTTGGGATTTGATCGAACCAACCATCGAAGAGCTCAATCGCAAAATGCGAGAAGCTGAGACAGATCCACATGAAGGAAAACGAAAGGTTGAAGCCGAATGGCCTATATTTCGCATTCATCACAAAAGATCCCGGTTTATATATGAGCTTTATTACAAACGAAAAGCGATTTCTAAGGTAGACACCTGTATCTAAATAGATAACATTGTTTCAGGAATTGTACGATTATTGTATCAAAGAAAAAATCGCGGACGGAAATCTGATATCCAAGTGGAAGAAACAGGGTTATGAGAATCTTTGTTGCCTGCGTTGCATTCAGTCCAGAGACACCAACTTCGGCACCAATTGCGTCTGTCGTGTACCTAAAGCAAAATTGGAGGAAGGCAAGGTCGTAGAATGTCAAAGTTGTGGATGCCGTGGTTGCTCTGGATGAACATACTAACGATTCCGTTGTTGTTTCAAGTCTCTCAAAGTGTTTTATGTCACGTGCACTTGCTTTCATCTTTCAGATTTCATATTAACGAACGCTCCATACAACCAGTGACCTATCACTTGCTCTTGTACAAACTTTCATGAGGTTGTTGGTCATGTATTAACTTGCTAGGACCGATGGAAGTACCCTGGTTTACGTCACCGTTGTCATGTAAACTATCCACGTGGAAGGCGAACGACTTTTCTTCATCGAGGCCCATTCTCCTCACTTGGTACATCATTTCCATGCCATCCATGAAGTTAAGGGTCCATCGTATACTGTTTGATGGATCTATGCTCCAGTGGTTATGGAATGTTTTCTGGACTCGTAAGGGAATCCGTAATCTGGCGATTTGGAGGACCTCTGTTGCTATGGTTGCGAAATTCTTGATGTAATGGTTTAAGGCCTTCGTTGTGCAAGGTTTCAGGTTCTGTATAATAATAATAATAACACCCCTGCTTCCCGGGTTTAAGTCGTCGCTGTTGCATGAGTTTGGGCGTTGATGCGGTAGTCCAGACCGCGTACAGCCGCTTGCAGTTACGTAGCAACGAAGTCTCAGTGAATAGTACTGATGTGTTGCCGATACCATCTCATCAGCTTTGTGTTACAACCTCGCCCGATTCTGTGTTTCATCTTCAGGTTACCCACGACGCATTTGTTCGTCTGCCAAGAGTCAGAGTGAGCTCATTTGGTAATTGAAATAACTATAATACTAGTGCCATGACTTTCACGTAAGCGGCGTCGCAGCTGAGGATACTGAATTAGTGACAGCTAGTTTTGGTTGTAACGAAGTGTTCTCTTGCCTTTGTACAAACTTTCTTGATCATCATCGTCATCATCAACAGCAGTACATCAGCCATTTGAACTGATGCTTCGCTGCCATACAACCATGAGGACCTATGAAATAAAGAATAAGAAGAGGGAGAGAAGGGGGACTTACCTGAAAACCTTAATGCCCTAAGCAAACATTCAGGGTCAAGGCGCCTACACCTTATGTTAACAACATACCGTTACAAACAGCTGGCTATCGTGCAAAGATAAGGCGGCATCGGCGAGACAGCTTCCTTGCGGCTTTCACTGCCACGCGTCATAATCAGCCATTACCCCGCAGATAACTCAGCACAAACACACTTTAAACAGACAATCCGATTAGGAGACGGCAGCAGACGCGCCACTGGTGTCGGTTGCGAGCCATGTCCTGTAAAGTCTCGAGCCAAGCACAAGGCGAGTCACGTGGACTCCAACCCGGAAGGCGAGACGGACCAACGGCACCCAGTTTGGTCGTCAGTGACTTCATTTCCCGCTGCCAAGTCAACTTCTGTCCACCTCGAGCCTTGCGCCATCCTACACCTGGTAGACTGAACAAGGCCCTCCTAGGTAAGCGGTGACCAGGCATGCGTAGCACGTGCCCGAGCCAACGCAACTTATTCAGTGCTATCTGTTGTTCTAGGGAGCTAGCATGATTATCACCACCTAGTACTAGCCTACGCACATCATCGTTGCGGACACGCTGGTGCCATCCGACACCAGCAATGCTTCGCAAACAACGATGATCAAAGACTTGAAGGCGCCTCAGATCTTCAGACCGAAGGGGCCAAGTCTCACTACCATACAGCAGAACGGCTCTCACTGTGGCCTTGTATACACGGCCTTTCAGACGGAGGGAAACTCCCTTCTGTCGCCAGAGGTGACGCAGGTTCAAGAAGGCAGCTCTGGCCTTTGCAATGCGTGAGCTCACGTCAGTTTCTATGCGCCCATCATTGCTGATGCAGCTGCCAAGATAAGTGAAATGATCAACCACCTCGAGTTCCTCGTTAGCAAGCGTCAAGGGGTCATCAAGTGGCTGGTGGTCCTGCAGCAACACTTTGCACTTTGAAGGTGCGAAGTGCATCTAGATCAACTAACCTTTCACCAGGCAGCACTTCAACGCCTACATCGTTGGATTCCGTCAGGGAACACTCCATGATAGAATCCACGACGAAATTGAACAAAAACGGGGAAATCGGACAACCCTGACGAACGCCACTTGTAGTCGAAAAGCTATCCGATAGGGCACCATAGACCCTGACGCGGCCTGTAGTGTTCGAGTATAGAGCACGAAGGATGTTCACATATTTCGTGGGAACACCTTTCCGCGCAAGTAATTCGAACAGAATCGATCGATCGACTGAATCGAACACACTCTTGATCATTGTATCAACCTGCTATGATCGATGGAAATATCCGTTTAGGTAGCCGTAATCATGTAAACTGCCTACATAGAAGGCGAACGACTTGTCTCCATCGAGACAGCGAATCATACATACCGGCACCACAGTGGGTAGCCACGATAAATTGCATTGGAATTGACACGGTAGATTGGACAAAGCGCCTTCCACTCAACAACCAAGTGATCCATGTCATTCAAGCACGTTGCATTCGCTGTAGCACTCATGCTGCTTTCGGCTCAAAGCTGAGCAATATTAAGTGGTGTCCTTCGAACGCGCTCATCTTGTGAGGCGATCTCTACTCCTTTTACTATAGACCAAGTGGATTTGTCCGCGCAGTTAGCTGGAATCCACCCTCATGCGCCTCTTTAGTTTATGAACCAGTCCGAACACTGGAAATGTTAGATCCAACTTTCTGTGCGATTCCGGTTGTACTGAGCTCGTTTTCTGCACTCTTTAATCCCAGCCACAATCCGAAGTTAAAGCGTCGGAGCAAATATGTGGTGGAGGAGTAGCTGACGAAAACAGCTACCAATAGTATGAAAATCAGCGGGCATTCATAGTTCAACTCAGAAAAGTTCGTTTTTCAAACAGCTACGTCAGTTGCCCTGATGAATAGTTCAGTCGTGCTAACCAGTGGGGTAGCCATGGATATTCCTGGAACGACTTGATGCTTCGGTTATACATCGTTAGCTCAAATCGTTTTTCCATGGAAATAAGGAGTTCCTGAGAGGTTTCACCTCATCCCGGTCACTTGAGATTATGGCTACTGTCTAAGTTGATAGCATCGGGTTAAGTTGCATTCTTGTCGACGGTGTTTTCGTCTGTTTGTCTATCGCCTGGGTTGAAATGCTTTCGGAGGTGGCTCTGAACTGTCGGTTAAATGCAACCACATCGGTCTCCGGTAAATCAAAGTGATCCACCAAGCGATAGCTTAGTTCGCTTTATTCTTTCCGGTTGGCACAGTTTTGGTTGCAGCTGATTTGCATTATTTATCCAGGTTTGATATCTGATGAACACACCATAGATGATATCCACACGTTTGCATTTGATCTTACTTGGAGCCTATGTTACTTGGTCTTTCAGTCAGCTCTGTACAAGGCTAACTCTCCGAGCTCGAATGAGTTTTGGTTTGCTCTCTGCCGCCGACTGTATGGCCGCTCAATCTTCCGATTTCCTTCACGGTATGAAAACACTAGAACTTACCGGTGGACATCTAATGGCATGCGGGGCCCTCCCATTCATCATTGCTTCTACAGAGAACATTCCCTTCAGTGCTCATGGGTTTGGTGTGGATCGGGACAGAGAATCTATTGATCACCACCTCTATACGTCTCTCATCTTTTAATTCGAGGATAGCTCACCTGATTGTGTGCACGAAACATCACGACGAGACTGGACCTCACCGCGGTTCAATCATTTGCGTCCCTCCGCAATCAGTTGGGCTATGTTGGGTTGTGCTTTTGCCCCTTCAGAGTCACTCACCAGATTGGTCAATGGTTAGAGGCCAGACAAAATTAGTCCCCTGCCTCTCTAGATTGGTGGGTGGATTGAGGGCGGTTCCTTACTTCCTAAAACGGACTCTCTGTAGCCCAGTGCCAAAACCTCGCTGCTTTGCAGCCAGGTTTTTGAGCCAAATGCTTTGGTTGAGAACCCTAATTCTTCTCCTATCTAGATCTGCGCAGACTGACAGTATTCTGCCCACGCGGTACAATACAACGAACGTCTCTCCCGTCGCGGAAGATAATCAACGGCGCCCTGTCTGCTGCATCCCGAAGAGTGGATCAGGGATTGGATGCTACTGCTCATGTCTTCTCGGCTTTCTATCCCCCTCTTTCGCTTTTTCATCCATATCGTCAGTTTCTACTTCATTTTTCTTTCCTTATTTTCAACCCTCCCTCCAATTTTTGGCTCGTCTCCACTTTGCTACAATAGGCGTTTCTCTTTTGGTTTTGAATGCAGGGCGTCGCTCCAATACAGTCGACAAGTCCATGTCCGTCCAGACGGACGACCTCGGTCCATGCGCTTCTATTTGGAGCCCTCGATCCTTACTGAGACTGGCATGACTCAGTAAGCGCACTGCTGCAGATTGGTCATCAGGTAGCACTTGCCAGACCAATAGGGACCTTATCGATCGACGTCTGCTGCTTATCGGAAACCCACCTGCAAGATTCGAGTTCTATGATCACCCTGCAATCCCCCTCATTCGACACTGGCCGCACTTTCTCATTGCGTTTGTCCGACCATGACAGCTTCGTATACTGGTCATGCAGGTGTGAGAATTGGTCTGGGCCCCCGGGCTGAAGCTGCCCTGATCGATTGCATCCCAACGAACAGTTGGATGTGCGCTGTCAGAGTAGCTGGCTCGTTCTAGGCTTCGAAATCGCGCGTAGACAAACAGTGCTTCTGTCTCACTGCGGCCTACACGCCCACAAATTCTAGCTCCGACTCAGTGAAACACGACTTGATCATTAATTGAAGGAGCCCTTTTGTTACAGTACTAGTTCTGATACTGTGGCACATGCTGGTGATTTGAACGCTCAACTTAGCATACTGTTCATTGTTGGGCTTCATCTGGACGCTCGAAATGGTGTGTGCTCCCCTAATGATAACCATGGTCGCTTGCTACACATGTTTGAAGATGTTCGTTTCCTCGCGAGCACAAACTTTCAATACAGCACCCGCAGAAGAGTGACGTGGCGACTACTCACCTCAAACCAGCCATAGACGCAAATCGACCACCTCGCGATCAGTTACTGCTCTAGTGGCTGTGTCCAAAACTGTTGCTCGAGTTGGAACACATGTGCTGACACTGAGCATGCACTTGTATACGCTGATTTATGGGTGCGTTTCGGAGGATGTCCGCTACGGCGCTCTGAGCGCAAACCCTTCTTAACGATTCACTTACAGATGGGATCGGATTTGTCCCACAATCCGTATCTCGCATTGTCGAGACATAAACTATTCCTTTATTTCTGTTTACTTGTGACTACCTTTTTACACTCTTACTGCAATGTTAATTATTTTTTTCCTGGAGGCCGCAGTCCGGAAACTCATAACAACTCTCATTGCTCAGCGCTATCAATTCCTGTACTTTTCGAACGCTAGCAAATGATAATGAACCTGAAAATTGTTTTCAGAACTGTCTAGCATATCGATGCTTCGGGCAGTCATATGTTTCCGACATTTCCCCTGTACAATTTGGTCGGTCTTTCTTGCGCACATATTTTATATTTTTCTTTACTTCACCATTGACCGCAACTGGGTCTATCTCCTGGGGTGACGGATTTAAGCTTCCAACGCTACTAAGTATACGCATGCAAGGCACCTTGCCATTGGTTCCCTGGCGATAAAAAGTGCTTTACTCAAAAAGACAAGCTGATGGTAGTCGCTACGTAGCTTGACTGTCTTCACTATATACCCAGCAAAACAGCCCTAAAGATGTGTTACATAAATGATGGCTTACCTGTTTTAAAAGCCACATCACCACACGGCCAGATGGGGCATGGAAGTGAGGGTGAAATCCATCGAGAGAATAACCTGCCTAGAAGCAGCTCCCCAGCAGGCGGTCACAGTAGTGGCCTTATTACTTCATTTAGGCGTTTTGTTTATCTACACTTATTATCTTTTAAAACTTCACAATCTTCCCGAAAGAATTGGCCGAAAAGTTAGCCATATCTGCCAAAAAAACTGCTTTGGAAAATTCGAAAGATATGACGTCTGCTCCCTGCGATTCTGCCTTACACCTGGAATCGTACTATCCAGTTGGAGTGTACCTCTCACCGACGATGAATATACCCTTGTTTTTTATTCCCTACAACTTCATATTTACCATACACAAGAGCATGGTGCTACCTGTACATATTTGACCTGTGCCAAATATGGACGCAGCTTCTCACTTAAAGATGGATGCACCCATTATTATTATTGTTGTTATTATTATTATTATAGATACTTGTCAACTGGCGGCGTCAAGTGTACTAAATGCGTATCAAGGTACGTTGGTATCCGAACTGAGTAAACGTTCACTTAACACAGTTATTGATCATTGGTCGCTTATCCTCCAGACGTTCTTTATTGCATACGTCTTTATAAGTTGAATCGAATTGCTAACCCAAATACTGGATCTCTGCGTTCTCTCTGGGATTTCTGAATACTCATCATTTTTTCCGGCTGGAAACGAACACATTGTAGCTCACAAACATTTTAGGACGAAACTGTCTTCTAGCCTGAAAAGAAACCGAATCTTGGTGGTCTCATCGTGCATCTGAGATGGAAGTGGCCGCTGCCCTTGGCAACCGCCGAATTTATTCCTTCTGACACGGAAAATGGGCAGTGGTAGACCTGGCGTTACCGAGAACATAAGCGACGAGATTGGACGGGCGATCCACAGCTTGTCAAAGCGCTTGGAACGCTTGGCCCAATGCTGTGAGAAGCAGTTTACTCAGTCAGTTACTAGCATCTCTACCAGCCATTGATCGCCTTTCTCCCTGAGCTGTCTCCTTGGATCCGCCCCACGCACAGAAATCCAATGTTTGAAATTGAACAAGACTCTCGGAGTAGATGAATTTCATCCAGCCCTCTTCAAATTCGGGGGACTCGTTCATTTAACTGCTCTACGCAATTTATTAGTGAAGCTGTGGGAGCAGTGTAGTGTGTCGCTCCATTATAGCTCCGATTTTGAAGAGAGGTTTGTTTTCGGAATGCGGCACTCCTATTAGAAGTTACTTGTCTGTATCGTTCTCCACAGACTGGCTGGAACCCGTGAAAGTCAGATTCGCGTGGAGCAAGCTAGGCTTCCTCGAAATCGTGGTTTCCTTTACCGCTTCTTCACTTTTCGTCAGTTGTTGGATCAAGGCCATATTTATTCGGAACTTACTGTAATTTTGTTCCTTGATATCAAAAGTGCATTTGATTCGGTGGATCGATGTGCCTTTTGGAACTATCTGCTTGGGGAGAGGTGCTCGATAAACATGTAAATGTCATAAGAGCGGTGTACGCACGTAGTTAGAGTTGAGTGAGAGTTTATGGCAAACTGTTGCCGCCATTTATTATATCACGCGGTGTGAAACGTGGTTGCCTGCTGTCACGTTTCCTATTCGACTTTGACTGTCATATAAACAGCGTTTGCTAGATACGACAAGGCCCTAATCTGTGACAGCTCACAACCGTGCCATGCAGCACTAGACAGCTTAGCGTTAGCTGTCATTCGTTTCGGGCTAAGCTTTTCTCCATCGCAATACAACCTCCTCTAAGATTGGCGAGGATCCGCTCTTGCGCTGACTCTTGGCGGTCATCAGCTGGATGTCATCCACACCTTCAGATATCTCGGCAGCTATATTGGCGCCCGTGGGATCGAAGATGATATCATAAACCGTATAGCAAAGCCTCCGGGCGCATTTGCCAATCTTCGCAACGAGTAGCCCCGGTGCGACATCCCTCTTGCACTGAAGGCTAGCTTTAAAATGCACCATTTCCTTTGATCCTCCTGTGCGGGTGCTAAACCTAGCTCTTCAGATCGACAGACAAAGAAGGTTAATTACATTCGATCATCGCTGCCTTCGGAGCGTAGCTCACATCTGATGGAAACACCCCGTAAGCAATAAGCGTGTTAAGGGACGCCTATTTGGTTCAGGAAGAGCGTATTATTCGCTCAGCGCCATTATTTCACGAACCAGGCTCCGATGACTGGGCTACGTGTTGTGTATGCCAGCACACCGACTCCTGCCTTGTGAGTTATTTGCGGAACTAAGATGTGGGTGGAAGAAGAGGAGAGGAGTCCGAACGATGACTGGGCGAAAAGGAACGAAGTCCCTCACTTCGAAGTTGGGGTTGGTTGATTTCTGTCGAATGCCAGACTGGGGTCCAAAGGACGATGAAAAGTTTCGTTGAATACATTGGTTGACATGGCGAAGAACCGGCGCTAATGGCATTTGTATTTTGCGCTTCTTTGTCCTTCTTCCTTCCACTTATCATCTCCTTCCAACATTGTTCCCACACTTGATGCTTAATATGACACTAAGCATCATGTTGCGTTTTTGATTTATATTGTTTTCTGTAATGTTTTGCATCTCGTTTCTTCTCCATCTATCTTATTTTTTGTATTGCGGCACTCTAGCTGCTATGTGTTTATTACCTCAAACTGCGCTGCATTGATAATCATACTAATAATAATGTTGATGATGTTGATGGGATCACGAATCTCTCCACCCGGCATTTCGACTGCGGGTGGAATGACGGTGAGTGAATATACTGTACGGTACATCGCTTGCAGAATTTCGTTAAAGCTATGAAAGTAAAGTTCGGGCCTTAGTCCGTTACAGGTGTTTTTGGACAACCGAACCTGCCGAACTTTGGCCGCAATTACGATTTTGTGGTATTGGCTGTTATGTTCTCCATCGTAAACCTTTCAGGCCATTTGCTGTAGTCAAGCACCATAAGGCAGATTTTACTGTTGATCGATCCTACGATGTCGGCACGTATATGACACTATGGTTTTGTGGCGCTTTAAAACTTTGGCATACTTTGACAGCGTTTGGCCAATTCTTCCAAATGTTTGCTTATAAAAGGCCAGTACGCATAGGTGTGAGCAGGCGCCTTCATCTGATGTATTCTACGATGTCCCACATAAAATTATAGAAATACGCACTATTGTAAGGTCTTGCAGAGGACACCTATTTCCGAGAATGGTTTGGTCATCGATAATGAAGTGTGAATGTCTCCTTTGGTAATAATGCTGCAGTTCGTCAGATGAATATGTTGGTGACCGACTGTTGAACTGTTTGACCCTGTGTGGTGGGTGACGAAGCGTTTCGGTTCGTATGGCTTCTGCACGAGCGGGCAAATCATGTAATGCGTCACTCACGTGGAATGTGATGTCAGTTTGAAGCTCAACTGAGGCTATGATGATGTCTTATCTCTTTTGCTGTCAATGAAGCCTGACTGCGTCCCGTTGGTCTATAAAAGCTGTTATTTGCTGATGAATTTGAAAGTCATAGCTCAGCATAATGACCGCTTTTCGTTGGAGGTGATTGGCTGTATAGGCAGGGATGCCCTATTC